AAAAAAACAAAAAAGCAAATCTAATATTCTTCATAAATTTCATAAATATAAAGTGTCTAGGATTTTTCTCTGTGAGCACGTGAACCAAAAAATTCGAGTTTGTCCAGCCATGTCTAAATAATTTTTTTATATCTCAACATTTCGATCGTTCAATCGATCTACCTGTTAATGATATTTCATCACCGAAAGACGAAAATTTTATAATAAACGCGTTCATTATTAAATTTTTTTAAAAATTTGGTTTAACCAGTTTTAAGCTCTAAAAGACTTTTTCGATAAAAATTGGCAAGTTAATAAAATTATTTTTTTTTTTTTTTTTTTTTTGTAATTAAGTATACGGCCAAATTTTTTTTATGATTACAAAAATCTGCACAAATTTAAAGTGCCGGATTTCAACCGCGGCTGTGGATGAACGTTATCTTAAAGGATCAGAAAATAACGTTGAAAACGAAATCCCTTCATGCAATCGCAATTAACCATAATATAAATATAAAGTTTGAGGGTATTGGAGTTGTGCAGACGCGAAAGAAGATGATTATGTGAATAACGATGAGATATGAAGTAGCTGAGAGAATTTCATCATCATTTTAAAATTTATGAAATAAATTTAAATTTCTTCTTTTTATGTTTAACTCATATAACTGTTTTTTAAAAAAATAAAAAAATAATAATATGTTGCAGAAAAATAAAAAATCAATTTAAAAGTAATCTATTATTAACAAAGCCAAGTTCTTTCAATCGCGTTTAATAAATCGAGTATAAACAAGAATCTATAAATTTTACTAAATTTGGGTTATTTGCGTTTTCAGTAAATGAAGATAATATTCCAAATGAGAAATATACCATGTTATCCGTCCAAAAGAGAATTACCATAAGTAAAAAAGGGGGAAATCTAAAATTTTTGCTAATTTTAGTTCTTAAACTAATTTTGAGTACATGACCGTGATCAGTCAAGTGGACCAATTAATAAAACATTTATCAAAATTTAGATTTCCCTCTTTTCTATTGACTGCCGCCCATATCATAAATTCACGAATATAGGCCTCGTCTATGAACGTAGAAAGGATTTTTAAATGATAGTTGGTTCTTTGCATAAAACCTTCTTTGGCGAGGTCTATTGGAAAATGATAGATTTTTCCTGAAAATCGAATAACGATTGCATCGTCGCTAGAATTCGTATTAATATTACTTTAAAAAAATATTATTAGTGTTGTCAAAACAAAAATTCCTTTTAAATTTTTTCTGAAAAAATTTTTTGAATGATTTGGATCTTGGAGGTTTTATTTCAGTAATAGTTTGAGGATCATCCTTACATTATTGAATTTTTTTTTGTGGGAATACAATGCTAGAAGGTAGAGAAAAATAAAATGACGAAATATTTATATCAGTGTATTGCCAGTAAAATTACATTAAGATCTGATTGTTATATCTCATAACTGGCATTTTAAAAAATTGTGTTTCTCACAATCTCTTACTCTCTCCTAAAAAATAAAAATCACATCCTTTGAAGAACTGATTTTTTTTGGAATAATAAGTTCATTCCAGATTTCTACAAGTCGATTTGGTTCATAATTTTTTAATAAAATCAATTATATGGGAAGTTTGCTTTAAAATCACGTTACGGATCATATGATTTACTATGTATGTAACTCAGATTTTAATAGCAAACGACCTATATGATAAAAATTTTAGTAATGATTGAATAGTAAAAATCGGTTTTATTTTTATGACAGAATCACAAATTTTGTAAACGAGAAAGAAATAATCTAACGTTTATTTTATTGACTCCAACGAAATAATTTTTTTTTAATAAAAAAATTCATCGCTAAGTCTGTGTCACAATTCCATAACACCCCACAATCTAATTCTGAAGCAATTCTATAAAATCACCATAATCCTCCAAAGCATCATAACGCTTTAGCACACCCTCCTCCTCATATTTTTCAAATACACTAATTAATTTCTCAAAATTCAATTTGTGACAAGGTTCTACATAGAAATTTAAAATGATCGGTTCCCGACCTCTCCAATTTTCGAAAAAGGCTTCCAAATCATCCTTCGAAACGTTATTCCGATACACAATACTAATTTCATGTAAGGAATCTGGAGCGATTTCAACCAATATATCAAATAATAATGATAAATCGGTACTTACGAATATGTTTGCAATAGTTAACCCTTGAATGAAAATCTTTCGAAGCCGATAACATTTCATCAATAAATTTTCAAATTCCGTAGCAAATTCAGAAATGACCCCCAAGGATAATGATTTAATATTCGGGCAATGCTCGTAAACCGTACGAAGGTACTCTCCAGCAAGTTCATCATTAAAAGTATTATAAAGTAAGATCTTCGAGAGATTTCCTTCGGTCTTTT